ATATTTGTGCTCGGTTTGTGGCTCATGGCTTCTGACACCTCTCTAGGAGAAAGCACTAGGACACTATTTTGTTTAATAGGTGGACTTTGAACCCTGTTCCTGACAGAGCTCCTGTCACCTTTGCAATCTCCCATGTATGTGATAGGAACATCTTTGGTTCTAATAGAGGGATTGTGGGATAGCCTAAGATGGGACATGCTTACCAAAGGAACCAACCCTGTGATTAGAAAATTGACACTGGTCAGCTCTATCTCCCAGCCTCTGCGGAGTGCAAGGAGATGGAAGTAGTAATCATATCCCCTGCCTATGTGATAAAGGCATCACAGAAATTCAGAAGCACATGGTTTGGATTGCTGCACATTTACAATTTCCCAGGTGCTCGTATGCCAGGAGTAAGCTAGGGAACCTCTTCCTAAATTCTTTGCCTGATCTGTCTCTTGCATCCGATGGATTTTTTGTGACATTATTTATAGTTAACTGGTAAGTAAACTGTTTTCTTAGGTTCTGTAAGCTGCTGTAGAAAACTAACAGAACTAGAGGAAGGGGCTGTGGGCCATCATCCCAATGTATAGAAGTACAAGTCATAACCTGAGGTATATGTTTGACAACTGATAGGGGTGGGGATCCTATGGGACTGAGATTTCAACTTATGGGACCTACACTATTTTCAGGAAGATATGGTCATTTGTAAGGCACTTGGTATATGCAGAAGAATCTGGTCAAAATGTTTAAAGGTGGGAGCAAAAAAAGTTTTGCTTTTTCTTTTTCTTGCTTTATAAGCAAATAGCATAAATCAGGTGGCTTGTAAAGAACAGAAATTTGTCTCTCACTGTCCTGTAGGCTGGAGGTCTGAGCTGGGGTACCAGCAGGTTCTGGTAAGGACTCACAGTGAGAAAGTAGACAGACAGACTCCTTGTGTTGTCATCCTACATGGTGGAGTGAAAGCCCTCTGTGGGCTTGATGGGCAAGAATCCTATTACTGCCCTTTATCTTCATGACCAACTTGCCCCTCAGATTATAATCCCAGTAAAGGTAGAATTTCTCTGAGACCATAATGGCACAGGGCTATGGAGAAAGGGTCGAAGAAGCTTCAACCCCTCCCAACGTGGTGCCACAAAGCCAGCCACCATCACGCTGCCATCAACCCTAGCAAAATTTATTACCTGACTTCTTGTTTGATCTTATAATGTCATCCCCTCACTCCCATCCCGAGTATGGAGACGAAGCATTCTCCAACATCCCTGCCTTGGCCAATGGTACATGGCCACACAGTCCTTCCTCCAGAGACCCTAGCCACCCCCTCAGGGGCATAAATCCCTCCCCAACTCCATGCCCCAATAAACCAAACCAGGTCTTTGAAGCTATTCATAGGTGTGTCCTTTAGCTGGGTGCTCCGCACTTACCTGTGCCCCAGCTAAACTCCCCTCCCTCCTGTCCAGCTTGGTGCACAATGGTTCCTGCTATCCCTGAGGGGAAAGCAGACACAGGGTGGCAGATTCAGACAGGTAAATTTTGGGTACACATACATTTAGTCAGCAATATCTAAATATAGAGAAATATTCTAGGATTATTTGACAGCAAAGAAAGAAAGCAGTGTTAGTGACTTTTCTTATTGTTGAGACAAAACACCCAAGAAAAACAGCTTGAGGAAGGAAGAATTTATTTTGGCTTGAGGTTGGAGGTAACATCCATCGTGCCTTGAAGATAGGGGCCTTAGTTAGGGTTTTATTGCTGTGAAGAGACACCATAATCACAGCAATTCTTGTAAAGGAAAACATTTAGGCTGTTTTACAGTTGTTCCTATCCTGCCTCAACTAACACAATTACAGATGAACAATGAAATAATGTAAAAAGCATGAAACTGTAGAGTCTAGTACTTAAGAACAGGAAGAGACACTATTTCGTAGAAGCACCAATTGGCTAAAGAGTAAGAATAGAGACTGAGGAAGCTGTCAGTCTTGGTCCCCTCCATTGTGCTCCACCGGTGTTGGGTCATCCCGGTGTGTTTTCATCAGGACCCAATTATTTGAGTTAATAAATGCCATAGTACTAAAGCAGGCAATAGTAGCGTCTCTTAAACTATAGTGGATTCAAGCTACTTCTATTCATTTTCTGCTTGCTTATACATAAGTGCCCTTTGCTGAGATGGGCTGGAGTTACAACTGATAAAAGCTGGGTGTCAGCCACAGACTAACTTATCTTTGCCTCCAGGCTGCAAGACTGGGGAGCTATGTAGCATAGTCCATCATGGTTGGGGGTAGGGAAATACAGAGAATTCTCGCAGTAGAATATCAAACTGTTCACTTTCTTCATATTATTGAAAAATGTCAGTTTTCATAGCAGATAGAATTAAAAAGTGTCTGAAGAAAGTGAAGGCTTGGAGATGGATCAGTGAGAGAATGAAAAGGAATTGGAAAAAAGTGTTAACTTTCCCCCCCCACAGACAGGGTTTCTCTGTGTAGTTTTGTACGTCCTGGATTACCTTTGTAGACCAGGCTGGCCTAGAACTAACATCGATCTGCCTGCCTCTGCCTCCCCAAGTACTGGGATTACAGATGTGCACTACTGTGCCTGGCTGTTATTAACATTTTTTAAACCTGGAAGGAAAGAGAATAAGCAAAGAGGGACAGAAGGTTTATTCCTTACTACTTCAGACATTCAATTGAATACAAGTTTTACCTCAAAAAACAAAACAAAACAAAACCCCCTAACAACAACAAAACCCCTACAAATAAAACCTTTAAAACCCTGAGCAAGTAAAGCTACTTTAGCCTGAGCTGTGGTCAATAAATAAGACAATCTCTAAGTTTTTGCTCACAGTTTGACTTACTATTTCAGGCTTTCTACACAACCAGCAAAAGTAGGCTTTACTGAAAACATTTAAAACAAAAAACTAAGAGCTAGAGAGATGGCTCAGCATTAAGAACACTGGATGCTCTCTTCCAGGGAACTTGGGTTCAATTCCCAACTCCTACATGGCAGTCACAACTGTCTGTAATTCCAGTTTCAGGGGATCTGACACCCTCACAGACATACAGGTAAAATACCAATGCACATAAAAAAAAATTAAATCTTATCTTAAAAAAAAAAACCCAGAAAAGTAAGAATGAACATAAAATTAGTCAAGTCTGAGGAACATAAGACCCTGTTTCAGCAATAAAAGCAACAGTCCAAAAGTGAAAATAATACCAGAGTGCATTTATTCATTTTCTTATTTTAAATTATCTTTTACTTAAACATGTTTAACCACAAAACTTTATTGAATTTCAAGTTTTAAAATGTATGATTTATTAGATTTTCTAACTGAGACTTTGGAAAGGTAAATCAAAGTGTTAAGTAGTCTTAAAACACGTATCAAAGGAAATTAAAAGATTTTTTAAAATATATACCGAGAAAGTATTTTTAATACTCAGAGCATTTTATTTTGATTCCAGGGTTTTTGAGACTTTGAACTCTATATACTAATCATAGTTATATGATAATAACATTTTGCAAAAAAAAAAAAAAAAAAAAAAAAAAAAAGAGAAAAGAAAAGAAACATTTAAGGGTAGCTTGATCTACAGAGTAAATTCCAGGTCAGCCAGTGGTACACAGAGAAATTTTGTCTTGAAAAGCCAAAAAACAAACCAAAGCAAGAAAAACAAAAATAAAACTCTCCAGTTCCCTTTGTGTTATTGTTAGCTTTTGAAGATTGTTTTTTTCTTTTCAGACAGTCCCAGTCCTGCTAGCCTGGAGTTCTCTACATAGCCCTGGAACTCACAGAGATACACCTGCTTCTGTCTAGGAGAGCTAGGATTAAAGCAGCTACCTCCATGCTTGATGCTGTATTATATTGTCCAGTCTTCATTGTTTCGGGAGGAATTGGCAAATGGTTTTACGAAACTGAGATTCCGTTTGCTCTTTTGCAACATCCTAGTGATGTAAGCAGCACACCGTTGGACTATTTTGTGATTACCTTCTTTCCTTTTTAAAGCATTTACTTGATGTGAGTATGTGTAGTGCAGGCATACACGTGGCTTTTGGAAGTCTAATCTGTCATTTGCCCATGTGGTCTCTTAAAAAATGCTTGTTCATGAAGACTGACCTTTTTGTCCATTGACACTGATAGAAACCGAAACTTCCAAATTGAAGGAAGGCATATACATTTTTAATGATAATGCAGTTGGTTTTGTTTATTAGAGTAACAGACATTTTAAAATTCTACTACAAATAAACCTACTTTCTTTGCGATACGTTGTGGCTCCATTTATACAAACAATACTCTCATTTTTTTTGGTTCAGTGAAAGTGTATATTTCATTGAAAATGTAAAAATATTAATACACCATAAATTAGGATAACATCCCTCTTTTCGGATACACGTACACTCACAGACATTCCCAGCCTGCTGTTCGCCACAGGGGAAATTTCAGGGTAGTAAATTTCTTAGGAAGGAAAACCCTCCAGGCTGCTTGAGTCGTGCAGTGCTCAACAGTAATTTACTTGTTCGGAGTTTTTTTGTTTGTTAGAGCAGTGGCTATTAAAAGTGCAAATGAAAACACCCTGGGCTTCCAGATGCCACCGAGGTGAGAGGAAAACCAACGGTAGAAGTCGGTGGTAGGGCGGTGTCCCACCGCACTACCCGCGGGCAACGTCTACGCATCGCACTCCTGGGGGTTCCGGGGGTTGCAGCCTCACACGCAGACCCTCGCGTGGCGAGTGTGGGGGACTGCGGCCCGCCCGGCGGGGGGAGGGGGAGCCCTCCCGTGCGCAGGCGGGCGGGCGGGCGCGCGCACAGGGATGCCGGGCGCCGAGGCGAGTACCGGCGCCGCTCCCGCCTCCCCGCCGCCCGGCCCACCAGGGGGAGCGAGCGCGCTGGGCGGCCGGCTGCGGGGCCTGCGGGGCCTGCGCGGGCGGCGGCCGGCGACTGCGCCCCGCCGCGGCGCACCCGCGTCCCCACCCCCTCGGCGCCCGCCCGCCCCCGGCGCGGTCCTGCCCGCCCCCTCCGCCCCCTCCCGCGGCGCCCTGCGCAGACTCAGTTCCTGGAGAAAGATGGCGACGGCCGAGAAGCAGAAGCACGACGGGCGGGTGAAGATCGGTCACTACATCCTGGGGGACACGCTGGGCGTCGGCACCTTCGGGAAAGTGAAGGGTGAGGACGCCCGGGCCGGCGCGGACCCCGGGGACGGCGGGCGCCGGCGCCTTTCCGCACTCCGCATCCTCCCCCGCGCCCGCCTTCCGGGTCTCCGGGCTCCGTATCCCCGGTCCCTGCGGCTCTGGGAGCGGAGCCCGAGCCCGCCGCGGGATGCAGAGCTGTGGGGTCCGCTGCGGGGGGGCTGGGGCGGTCGCCATGGCGACGGCGCGGCGCCCGAGGGGCGGGGATAGCTCTGGTTGCAACTTTCCCAGGTGAGGGAGTTGGGCAGTGCGCGCGCGGGGGCGCCCGGCGGGGACGAGGGGTCTCTCTGCTCTTCTGATCCTTTGGCGCCGAGCCAGCCCATCGCGCCTTGGCGGTCCTCAGAGGTGTCGCCACCTCGCCTTTAGGAGGTTGTCGGCTTAGGTGCTTCTTCGGTTTCCTGCCTCGAAATGTGTTCTTCCAGAAGTCAGGTAGCTGTGGAGGCATCTTTCGGCGATCCTAAGAATGCCCTGGTAAGGACTGCTGACCTCTGTCAGGGTGTTTGATGGATGTGCGTGTGAACTGGTGCTGTGCTTTCTCTGCTTTCTCTGACTGTTTACAGTTGGAGGCTGACTCTGCCTTTAAGTGTTTTCGTTTTCCCAAGTTTTGCGGTTTCTGAGAGCTATACCTGGTAGGTAGGGCGTGTGTTAACTCCAGATGGTATTTATTAGCCTATTGGTACAGCTTCCGTTTATTCTCACAATATAGTCTAGTAACTCAGTGCCCATCTTTTGGACTTTTGTTTGTTTCGGTAGAATCCCCTGTTACTGTGTTAGCAAAGCACGGGCATTCTGTTACCAGCAAACTTGATGTCTAACCCATCAACTGACAAGAAAAATTCTGATTGCAACCATTCTGAGGTGGACTTTTTTCCCCTTTAAAATATTTAAGCATGCTATTAATTATTTAGAGGAAGGAAGTCGGGAACTGATAAAGGAATAATTCATGCATTGGTTTTGGAGAAATAATAGACGTGACCTGCATATAGTACCTCTTAGTTGATACTTGATTGAAATAGAAAGTTTGTCAGAATTTACACAGAGAGGTAACTGAACTCTGTTCTCCCTGGAGGAGCAGAAGAACCCTTCCTTCCCTTGCCCTTTCCCTGTCCTAGAATTGAAAGTTGCTGTGTAACCCTCAGGGGAGCAAATACATAAACTTCTTAGGAAAACCTTAGCAAGCCCAATAATGTGAGGGCGGGGCAGGTAGAAGTCTAGGGCAGTAGTGGTAGGCCAGTATGATGTTTGTGTGCTCTTTCAGGTTTTTGCTTTGTTTCTATGTATGTATGTATGTGTATATATATATATATGTATGTATGTATTTTGAGAGAGTACCATAATGCTGTCCAGGCTGGCTTTGAACTAGTCATCCTTCTTGCCTCAGCCTCCTTAGTAACTGGTATTAACAGCCAGCTCTTTTCATTATTTTGCTTACAAAATGTTCCTTGTTAGTCATTATAAAGTGTTGTTTAGGTTACAAGTGTTGGTAGGAAATGCTTATTAATGCTCTGATCGAAGTGATAAGGCAGGCTTGCATTCAGATCCCTCCTTCTGAGGGTCCTGCTTGGAATGTGGCTTCTGCCATTCTTCTGACTCCAAACCAGAGTGAACACAGCATGTGGGAAAGGAAGAAGAGATTGTTTTCGGGGTTGGGATTTGACCTGCGAAGTAACAGTGACAAATAGTGACTCTGCTTTTCCTTAACCTTCACTTCTCCACCCACACAGTTTTCTCTTGAAATACTACACTGTCAGTCATAAACCTCCCCAAATATAGAGGGCCAGTGTGAGTCAGCCGATCATAGGCTTCGTGGTTATAATTAAACTTGTCAGTTGGTGCTGGTCTAAATATTCAACCAATTCATTTTAAAACTGTTAAACAGTTGGGATGGGATGCTTCATGTTTTTTTTTTTGCTTTTTTTTTCTATGATCCTCGCCATAGTAAGGAATGGCTGGACTGCCATGTGCCATTTGATTTATGCATTGGAAAGGGGGAAAGCATGACTATCCCCCTTAGGAGGAATGTGACCCAGGTATGTGGGGGGGGGAGGGATGGGAGGGAGCATCTTTTTTTTCAGTACCTGGATACAGTGTATAGTTGTGCACTTGCTCTTGCCTGAGGGACACTATAGAGAATGAGTATTGTAGGTAGGAGAGACAAGAGGAGGTAGGAATGCACAGTGAGTAGGTGAAAATAACCTCTGTGTCGTCATTTGTTGATTAACTGTTACTTATTTGTTAACACCAGTCCTTTTTTAAAAATCTTTATTTGTATGTACATTGGTGTTTTGTATGTATGTCTGTCTGTGTGAGGGTGACAAATCTTGGAGGTACAGACAGTTGTAAACTGCCATGTGGGTGCTGAGAGTTGAACCTGGGTCCTCTGGAAGAGCAATCTGCTCTTAACCGCTGAACCATCCTTCCAGCCCCAACTCCAGCCTTAGTTTGACAAGAATTTTTTTAAATTATTATTTATTTTTATTTTACATGCATCATTGTTTTGCCTACATGTATGTCTGTGAGAGGGTGTGAGATCCCCTGGAACTGGAGTCACAGACAGTTGTGAACTGCCATGTGGATGCTGGGAATTGAACCTGGGACCCAGCCAGTACTCTTTTTCACTGAGCCTTCTCTCTAGCCCCCATTTCTAAGAATTCTTAGAGAAATTTTACTAATTAATTAATTAATTAACTGATTGATTTTTTTTAATTTTTGGACAGGATTTTTTTGTGTGTGTGTGTGTAGCCCTGGCTGTCCTGGAAGTTCCTCTGTAGACCACTTGAACTCCGAGCTCGCCTTTCTCTGTCTCCTGAGTGCTGGGTTTAAAGGTGTATGCCACCACCATCCTAGCCTTAAATTATAATTGAGACAATGTAGAGTATATTTTTCAAGTGTTATGTATGTTGGTAAATGTAACATTTTAGGGAATCTAACAGAAATGTGATACTGATAGATGTATAAATCACCAGTATGATATTCAGGGAGTTTACGTGTGTTTTGGTTTCCTTTTTTCTGTTTTTGTTTGTTTTTTGACATAGGGTCTCATTTAGCCCGGGCTGGCCTCAAACTCACTATGTGGTTAAGGACGACCTTGGTTCTGATCCTGCTGCATCCACCTTGCCGTTGCTGGGATTACAGGCATGTGTGCCACCAAGCCTGGCTTTATACAGTGTGAAGGACTGAACCCAGGGCTTCATGCCTACTAGCCAAGTGCGCTGCCAACTGAGCCACATGTCCAGCCCTAGAAATTGACTTTTGGGGCTAAATTGATAGTGGTTACCTTGTTATGGAATAAACAGTAATGAAAGTAATTGGATTACTTAATGATAGCTTTTTCAGGGGAACATTTCCCTACTTCTTTGCATGCCATTTCCCACCTCCCGTAAAACAGTTCCAAAAGCATGGATGAACAGTCATGATACTATAGTAGTATAGTGCATGGTAGTTCTTGAGAGTTTTCTGGGCTGGATATGTCTGCATAGAACCGGTTAAGTTGGTGGCTTTCTACGTTAGCCATCATTTCAGGTACATAGGTACTCTTTCCTTTGTATGAATTAGGAAAATTTCCTTGTTAGAAAATCTGCATGTAATATGTATGTGTACATATGTCATATATGTGTGGCATGAGTGAATCTTTAGAAAATAAAGTTAGGCATCAAAGATAAGTTGTAGAGCCAGGCATGGTGGTACTTGCTTGTAGTGTCCACACTGGGGAGGCCAAGACAGGAAGGTTCCAAATCCAGCGCCAGCCTGGGCTGCAACAGGAGCTCCAGGCCTGCCTGAGCTACATAGTGAGGCCGTCTCAAAATGCTGAAATCAGGGATAGGCATGGTAGTACACGCCTGTAAGCTTAAAATTGGAAAGATGCAGGTAGGAGGATTAGAACGGAAGGCCATTCGAGACGAGATAGTGAGTTTGAGACCTGCTTGAGGCTCTGTGTCTAAAAACAAAGCACAAGTTCATGTCGTAGATGAACAGTCTGATGTTTATAAAGGTTACAAAACACTTGTCTGATACTAGTATAAATTAATACTGTGTGTAGTGGGCAGAAAGATTAGGAGTTGAAGGCTAGCCTCTGCTTCATGACAAGTTGAAGATCAGCCTTAGCTGCATGAGATCTTGCCTCAAAAGAGGAGAACAACAATTACACCAAAAAATTTAAAGTCACACCTACATGCATGCACGTACACACACACACACGCACATTTGTGTGGCACACTCATGCCATGATTCATGTGTGGAGGTTAGAGGAAAACTTGGGAGTGAATCCTTTCTTTCTTTTGTCTTTCCACCACGTGAGTCCCAGGGATCAGAGTCAGGTCTGTAGGAGCACACAAAGCCAGGTTTTCTAATAGGGGAATTAGGGAACCAACTTTTCTAATAGGGGAATTGTTAAATTAGTTTCATGTATTGAAATGCCTTGTAAACATTTAGGGAGAGAAATAAGAAACTTTATGTAATTTAGAGAAGAGTTTTCCAGAATATTTTAACAGCAAAAAGTAATGTATATGTATAAAAGACATTGATGTACAAAAGGCAGAGGCAAATATCCACATCATTGTTTCTCTGTGTAGCATGTCCCCATGTAGATGTGCATGAAACCCCTGTGATCTTTGCTCCAGAACCTGGGTAGCCAAGGATGCTGTACTGTTGTGCATCCTTTGTTCTTCTGGGCATGTACCATAGTCATTAAATACCTGAAATTTATGAAAAGAATGAGATGTTACTGCATTTTTATGGATTCATACTTTCATAAGAAAATATATTAGTGTGTGGGAGAGGGACACTGAGTTCAGAGTTAATGGTAACCTCTGGGGAGAGATGAAGGAAGGCTGTGGGAGGAGTCATCAAAGACTTCAAATATGTCTAATATATTCCTTAAGCTTCTGGTACTGAAGTATTTGATATGACTTAAAAAATAACCATACCTTTTCCTTAAAAGGTGTGTGTGTGTGTGTGTGTGTGTGTGTGTGTGTGTGT